TTTTGATAAGATTGGGCCTTCATTTTACTGTTTTAACAAATGCAAACTTTTGAATTCAAATCTGCTTCAGGGACTACTGTAGATTGTGTCTCTTTGGCTTTATCTGGTGCACTATTTTCATGGTCAAAGCCTCTATTGGTATGTTATACTCTTGATATTAGTATATTACTGCATCAGACAGAATATTATTGTAATTGGATATCCTGCTCTCCTATTTATTGATTAGTGATTTAGTGCCAAGTCTGGTTATTCTCTTTTCTCCTGCAACCTCTCAGGTAATAAGTGGAATCAACAAGGGCTCATGCTGCGGCCATCACATGTAAGTAGTTCTCTACTTCTCTGTTTCTATTGGTTATGTTATATGTATTCTTCTTGCTCTCCTCTCATCATATACTGTTGAACTGAAATGCAGTTAGCAATTTAGCATTTATGTCTTAAAAAGCTTAAACGGTTAAGTTGTGAATTAACTACGTTTATGACTCCTGGGTTTTAGATTCTCACTTCTCTTTCACTTAATAACTCTTCTTTATGCATATTGCATTGCTATCTCTAGGTTTTACTCAGGTGTTGTAGCTGGTGCCAGGGAGGCATTGTTTAGTGGTGTTCCATCCATATCAATATCTCTTAATTGGTATGTTCTTGTCCTTTTTTTTGTTATTCTGCTATGATCAATGACACTTGATAATCTATTAGGGTGATTGATTATACACTTTCAGGAAGAGCAATGAAAGCCAGGAAAGTGATTTCAAGGATGCTGCAAGTGTTTGTTTACCTTTAATTACTGGAGCTATTAGGGATATAGAGAAGGGTGCTTTCCCCAAATTTTGCTCGCTTAATGTGGAAATTCCAACCTCTCCTCTTGCTAACAAGGTTTGCTTTTACCATACCTACAAAATTAAAAGAAACAGAGGGTATAAAACTGAAAACAATTTGCTGGATCTGGTGTTGAGAAGCTGCATATATATGTTATTGCTTCGGAAAATAGAAAAGTGATACAAAATTGACTGTGCTTGTTATTCAATTAAATTGTTCATGATACATCTATGGTTTCAGCTTCTGCAAATTCTCATTGAGGTAATTGAGTTCCTTGTATAGGCCTATGAATTTTGTACTCCACATGCTTGTGGATGGATGATTTATGTTAGTAATTAATTTTATGGTTATGAAAGAACTGGTTTCTGTAGAAGGAAATGCTATAGTTGATCAATAAATAAGTCAATTACTTGAGCTCATTATTTTTCTTAGGCATTGAGCTATCAATTAGTTAAGCATAGGCACCAACAATGTTCATTTCTATAGGTTTATGATCTGTTTTTGTCAGGGATTCAAATTAACAAAGCAGAGTCTTTGGAGATCAACACTAAACTGGAATGCTATTCCAGCCAACAGGAATCTTGCTTCATCGCGCTTTCTCTCTAATCAGCAAAGTCTTGGCTTGCAGCTTGCTCAGCTTGGCCGAGATGCTTCTGCTGCTGTAAGTAGAAATTTAATCATTAGAGGTCATTGTTCAAGTAATTCAATATCTGAAGAGTGAGAGTGAGCCTATGACAAGATTTTGGGAATTTCCAAGGGTGATATTTAGTTGCATACATAAACTTTATTTGGTGTATAAGTAACTATATGGCTCAACCGCTGAATTTTAATATAAATTCATTAATTTATAAGGGTTCTAGTGAGCAGCAAAAATAGGGGAGGGACTTGCATTGAGAGTTCAAATTATTAATTGTAGGCTATTTTGCTCTTAAGTGTGAGAAGAGTTATTTTTACTGTCTTGTTAAGATAACGATCTAGAAAGCATGAAACCAAATTTGGGGTCATGCATTCAAGTTGTACTCATATAAGACACCAACAACTTTGTTTCTTAGCTAAATAGTGATGGTAAGGATGTCCTTACTTAGTTGTAGTTTTTGTAATGAGCAGACTTGGCAATGGGCATCAATTTTTAGTATACCCAAAGGGTAGGGTGGCTAGTGACTAAGAGGTTTCTGCAGCTTCATGTACACAACATATAGTTTAGCTAAGTGGTTATTATATACTTAACTAGAACTTACAGCTTTGGCAAATATAATCTGAAGTGAATAAACTGCTCTTCTTTTTTGTCTTTCTGATTGGACATGTAGGAAGGTAAGAGGCCCACCACCTTGAATACGTGCCAAACTATGTGTAATAGTGGCATCATTTTTAGCTATTCAGATGTTTCTGTTCCAATTTTTCTCAGGGTGCTGCGCGCCGCTTGACCACACAGAGGAAGAGTATAGAGGTTGTTGAATCAGTTGGTGTTGCTGGAAAGTCTGATCCCAAACGGACTGTCAAGTACTTCAGATTGGAGGTAAACTATATCTTGTTGCAATTTATATATTACTGTGGTTCTGTGCAAATTAGTAATGCATCCTGCTTTGTCATCAGGAGTAGAGGGAGTAAAACTTGTCATGATGATATTGTATATATTGCCTTTGCTTTGTTTCTCTAATATGCTATTGAATTGCAACTTTGCATTATTATATGTTAATAACATGACCTTGTCCAGATAGCCTTCTGTTTCAAAATGGTTTGGACTTTTTGTTATAGGATTGACTTGAAGGTTTTTAACATTGCAGTTACTTGACAAGAAGCAGCAAGAAGGGGATGAGGATTTAGATTTCCAAGCACTTGAAAATGGCTTTGTAAGTATTTGTATTCTCCCTCTTGTAAAACTTTCCTTGCTGATATGAGATTCGTTTTAATATTATATACTCGTCTATGAATGTAAAATAAATCATTGCCATAGGCTGTTGAGTATAAATAACTACATTTCTTGAGTAATGCAGAGTTTGCAGACTTATTTAGAGCCTCAGTTTCAACAGAAATGTTGTGTGATCTTAGAATCTTGATTGGTTGTTATGTGAACAGGTTGCAGTCACTCCAATATCTCTTTCATCGCATGAACAGGACATCCGGTCAGCTGCTTCAGAGTGGATATCGACTGCCTTACAAGAAGAGCGACAATAGACTTGTTAACCTCGCTATATTTAATTCTTTTGTACATTTAAAGGTGAAGTGTTTCATTGAGGTGTTCAAAGTGTGCCGGGTTGTAACATTGGTGCCGTGGCTATTTATCCTTTGCCCTTTCCTATACGAACTTCCCCAATCTTTTACACTTCTGTGTTGAAGCCAATGCTTCCCTTTTTAATTTAAAATTTGGCAGCATGTTTGTAAAATAGTAGTAAAGTACCTTCCACCCCCCCTCTGATTTTCTCCTGAGGATGGTAAAAGTGGTTTGGCTGGGTTGAGATTCTCTTATATTTCCTGTCGGTTTTGGTTGACAGATTTGGTGATGTGGGTTTGTTTGTTTAATCAACATTCTTGTAAGCAGAAAGAAGGCAGGTCTAATTTATTATAGGTCCTGTGCGCTTCCTAGAGAGTTGAATGTACTGCATCTTTCATTCTAACTTGAGGCAATTACTGAATCTCAAGCACTTAATATTTCATTAATTTGGTTTTAATTCTAGGACTAGGATTGCAAATGATCATTGATGGTTCATAATTACAATCACTAAGTTAAACGATGATATTAAGTAGTTCAGGCTCCAATTAATAGAGGAAATATACTCCATTTAAATATGATGTTGGAAGAGACAGAAAATAACTAGGTAGTGACTTCTCTTCTCCCCGGGGTCTCCCACCTGACAAAGCATTTGGGAGGATGTAAATCTGGTGACTAGAAGACATGACTAAATGTCGATGTGCACAAGAGATCTGTTTATCATGGTGATTCAATGGTTTAGCATACATGGCTAAATGTCGATGTGCACAAGAGATCTGTCCACTTTTGGGCATAATTCTCACAATGTCGCTGCCAAGGTTTGAACCTTGATCTCTTCTCTAAAAATTTACCTACTGAACCAGTGAACTATGCTCATGGGTAAGGTAGTAACTTGTCTAACAAGATATGAGATTGAATTCTCTAAATGTTTGCCATATGAATCTGGTGTTCTTTGTTTCAATTTCATAGCATTGCTGTCATCAAATACAAGCTACTCCATTAGACAATGCAAGAAGAAAAGATAATGGAGTCTCTGTGTGTTCATGGATTTATGCTTATGGATGATTTAATCTATATCACTACTTAACTAGTTATGCAATTGAGTGATGTCCCTATGTTAAAAGCAGCATATTCTCATCACTTAAAAGCAAATTTGCTTTCTGAGTTCTTAATGCTTCAAAAAAATAAAGAGATATCAACCTTATCATCAAGAGTGAAAAGAAAATAGAAGATAAAGAGATATCAAGCTTATTATCAAGAGTGCAAGAATACAAAAACAATAAAGAAGCTTTTGTTTTAAAAGTACAAGAAGACAAAAATAATAAAGAAACTTTATTAAGTTCGTATTACTTAACTGTACAACTTTAAAGACTATTGTAAATGTAAGAGTGATGTAAGTAATGACGTAATATGTTTTTCCTATATAAGAAATCTTTCATCTGAATAATATTATCAGATCTTCTACCATTTAAATATGATGTTAGGTGAACGTGGACATCACATATATAACCATTAGTTACTAGTTAAGAGGAGAATTGTGAATTCCAGTGGGCAACGTATAGGCGCAAAAGCAAGCTCTTTCTATGTTTTCAAATTTAGAAAGATGTTTATAAAAATAAAATAGAGATATCATATCACAAAGATGTCTATCATTTACCTTGCTGTTTGAAATTTAGTAGATTCTGGTGATGACTGATGATTGTGTGAGCGTTTGTTAATTGAGACGCGAATCTGTTTCAGAGCAGTTTCTAAGTTTGTAAGCGTTTTTGGTTTAGATTAACTAATATATAATACAAGTGTACAATTTTTAACAAGTAGCTGGAATAGCTCAGTTGGTTAGAGCGTGTGGCTGTTAACCACAAGGTCGGAGGTTCAAGCCCTCCTTCTAGCGAATTTCTTTTTCTGCCACAAACTATGCTTTAAAGAGAAATAAAAAAGGCAAGACAATACTACACAAATCACTAACAAAACTTGTACATAGTAAACAAACTCACTCATTACACATTATCATATTATAATTGTATGATACATATACACTCTCATTCTTTAACCTATTATCAGTTTCAACACAACAAGATGTTGAGATCCACCCACCCAGGGGTAACCATAAATAAACACTAGTCTTTAAAAAAAAAAAAAAAACCAATTTCTCTTGTTCCAATTTTGATGATTCTTCACTATCATCATCTATATAACTGCAATAGGCGGGTACAGATCCTTGCACAGGCTCTTCACATTATCAGCACTTCTCCTAGAAGAAAGTGGGCTTGATTTCCTACACAACTGAAAATCATCTGTTGAATGCCTCTGTATGGTCTTAGAGGGAGAACTATGTTTTCTCTGCTGTTTATTCTTTGCCTTAATGGACTGTGTGAGACTCATGTAGCTTGGTTTGCTGCTTCTCCTCTCCTCTTCTGATGTTGTTTCGTTCGACGACGACATGGATGAATGACTGGTTGTGCTGTCATCATACCCAGGGCACTGATCAGATAATGCACCAGTTAATTGGCACCTCACTGGTGCTTTTGCTGAAATCCTTGTAGAAATGTTATTTCTTCTGATCTTCACTGAATTATGGCCAGATGATTCAACAGCAGAGCCAGATGAGTCAGATCTGCTCTCCCATGGCTTAGTTGCCACCCACCTATCCAGCCAGTTAAAGTCCCCATGGCTCTTGTCCACCATATTTGGACTCACCCTCTTGCTTGTTGTTCTTGGTTTCTGAGAATCAGATTACAGACAATAATCACATATCAATGGGACCAATCAAGTATCAAGAATTGAGATTTCTCCAGGGGTTATATGCATTACCAGTTGAGAATTGGCATATGCAATTGCTCTTTCTCTCTTTATGGCTCCTTCTTGCTTCATTTGTAATTTAGACCTCACTTCTTCCACTGATCCGGGTCTATCACTCCATCCATTCTGCAAAAAGCTTTGAGGTTAGGAGCACTTTCTGAAGATCAGATACATCTCTAAAAGATTAATTAGTGCTCATTGTTGAACAAATAAAATTGAGAAAATTTCATTTTCGGTCATTCAGTTATATCCCAGTCTTGAGTCATATGCAGGACTATTTTAACCCCTAAGTTATACACAAAGTAGCGAATTTAGTCTCTCGAGAGATTATTTCTGTCACTAATATATCACTTAGTAGTCCCCAAGAGACTAAAATCGCCAATTCATGCTTAACTTAGTGATTAAAGATAGTCAGGCATATAACTAAGGAATCAAGTATGTATCATGAGTATAATTGAAGGATAAAAATACAATTTTACCAATAAAATCTAAATTTCGGTATTACACATTAAAGATTGGGTATACCTCAGCTTGCTTGATGGGATCAAATTTGGTTTTTGCAGATTGGAGAGGTGTCTGAGCAGATTGAGCTCTAACTCGAGCTTGAACTCGAACAAGAGCTTGCATGCACCTTAATGTCACAGCAGCTTGATTCCTAACCTGTCGACCGCGAAATATTGCTTGTATCCTCACCACTGCTCTCAACGCCCTCAAAGCTCGTCTTGCCTGCAAAAACTTTCCTATTAGGTATGAATCTAGCAATCTGTTTATGAATTCAGCTGCAATTATCGGCTTATATATCACTGTAAAATTGAAATGAAAATCAGCGGAATTTACCAGAAAACCGCGAAACGCGGTCTGGATTCGAATTGCAGCCCATTCCTGCTTGATCAGGACGAAATCCTTGTGCGGAGCCCTAACCACAGTCGCCATGGCAGCTGCCAAAGCGCTGTCGGATACGAACGAAGATATGGATCCCTCGGAATCTTCCAGATACTTCACTCCTTTTCCGGCTCTGGAAGACGGCGTCGCGAACCCCCCGGATCCGCTCCTCCATAGCTTCCACAGCCTGCTTTTCACACTCTCCTTCTCCTAAACAACTCAGTACAAATAATGTTTTTTAAGAAAATGTAAAAAATTGAATGAATTTGTGATTATGAACATGAAGAATTGAAGTTCTGAGGAGCTTACGGGGTGTTTGGAGCGGGATTTGCTTAGAGTGATCAGTGATTTTATCCATTTTCCAGAAGCTCCCATGCTTCAACACTCAGAATTCATAAATTTTTAAAAACTATTTTCGTTCTTCTTCTTCTGCAAAGAAAAAGGTGAAATTGGGAGTTGAGAAAGAAAGAATGAAAGAGGTTTGAGCGTGAAATATAACTGCATGGAGGAGCGTTTGGCGGCAGACGGACGGGTTTGAATTTCGAATTTCGAAACCCAAAATCTTTAACGGCTAGTATTCCACTTTTGACTGATAAACGACGTAGTTTTACTTTTCCTTTTTGATTTCTTTTCTTTTTCTCCCTATTGATTCCATTCAACAACTTTCGTGGTCAAGCACCAGGATTTTCAAATTTTCAACTAGCTGTTGGGCCAGGCCCATATGGGTAGGTGGAGAAAATAAATTTAGATAGTTTATATTGTGGACCAAAGTTCACATAGCATTGTGAATTTTGGATTAAAACGACATCGTTTTGATCTTTAACTTTTAACGAACTTTTTAGTTTTTTTTTTTTTTTTCATTTCTCATGTTTCTATACAACTAATAATATATTTTAGATACAGAATTTATACTCTTAAAGTATATAATTTAATAACACAAAACACAAAAAACTCACAACACAAGGTACATACACATTATATATTTACTTTATTTTCAAATCCAATTTAGGTAGATAATTTATGTTTTATAGGCACAAAATTTCACAAATACAAAACATAAATTCATAACATAAGACACACAATACGTTGTATGTTACACGACTATTAATCTATTTTAGGTACATAATTCATATTCTTAAGGTACAAAAATTTATAATACAAGACACAAAAACTCATAGCATAAGACACATATACATATTATGGAGTATATATTTACTTATTTTCAAATCTGATTTAGGAAGAAAAGTTATGTTTTATAGACACATAATTTCACAAAATAAGATATAAATTCATAACATAAGATACATAACAATATTTTGGTATAGGATGGGAATAAGAGAGTTGGAGACAAGAAATGACCAAAATACCCACGCTCAATCGGAGTCCTCACAGGCTTCTGGATGGAACAATGCCGGAGGGAGTTATTTGACAAACTTCAAATTAATTAGAGGACCAACTTACTTGAAATTGGAATTGAGAGACTACATTGATAGTTTGCCAACAATTGAGGGACCAAATCGTTGATTCCCCTTTACTTTTTTTGCGTGCATTAATTTCGTCCGTTGTATATATATATATATATATATATATATATATATATATATATATATATATGACAAATAACCCTTATTATAATTTTATTATTATTACACAGTGACATTTTAGTCTTTATATTACATTTTTCCTTTCGGTAATTATATTCTTTAACACGGAGTACTAAATACTGAGTATTATGATTTGATTTTTTTTTTAATTTTCATATTTTGTAATTTCCTAATTCCCTTATTTAAACCAAAAGCGATGTTATAACTTATAACATTAGATTTGATGCATGAAAGAGGAGGCCACAAGTCAAAGAATGACAGACCACTCAGCACAGTGAATAATCAAATCATATTCAGTGAAGGAACCCAGGTATCAGTAAAAACCACTAGAATACAGAATGCATGCATGCACGCGCGATATTTTAACCTATTTTTAAAAAAATAATTAATATGTTGCAAGCTTAATTTAATCCTGCCCAATTTCTACATTTTTAGTAACATTCTTCCATAAGCGGACACACAAATTAGAGTTCCTAATATGTACAGTTTTACACTAATCCCTACCACCTGACAGGCCAATATAATGCTTCCACCTTCTATGATTATAGATTTATAGAGAGAAAAAATCATAATTTTTTTTGTACTTTTAAGTATTAATGATTCTTATTTAAAATCATCTGTATGTCTTAATTCTAATTAAATGGAAGTAGTCTCCTTCATTAATTAATTTTGTGAAAAATACAATTCTTATAATTAATTTTTTGGGTATTTTAAATATTTTTAAAAAGAAAAAATTCATCTACATAAGAAAGGGAGATAATTAAATGTGTTGATGGATTTGGAATGGGAGAGTGTTGCAATAATGGAGTGCTAGGACATCCCAATGGCGTATATTGGGGTGCCAGATTAATTAAAAAGTTAATGCAAAATCATTGGGGAGAAATGTTGGTATACTATGACATTGCTATGCCTTACAAAAGAATTATTTTTTTCAAATTCTTTTATGTTATGTTTTAATTTTTTTAAAAATAATTTCAATAGTAAATGACAAGTACAATTTACTTTTTTTTTCTCCTAAATCTTACAAATTAAGTGTTTCTCTTATATTTTGACGTACAAATGCATTACTCGCTATTATACCACTTTTTTTATAACACGCTATTATACCACTTAGTTTCTCCATATTCAAATTAAAAAGTTCTCCAAAATAGATAAAAATGGCAAATCATTTCATGATTTGTTAAACAATTCAAATGTAAACTAGAAGTCAAGAGCTAGAAATAATCACAATTAACACCCACAAAGCGAGCTTTACAAACTGTGTCATACTTTCCCGGTAGTTTCCCCCATTGCCTCTAAATTATCGGTAAAATATGTCATCGAACTACACACGATAATGTAATTGTGTCATTTAACTTAAAAAAAAAAAAAAAAAAAAAAAACAAACTCCAATTAAATCTGTAAACTAACCAATTTCATGCTAGTAGTCCAATTTGCAAGTTTTTTTAGATTTCTAAATGGTCACCACAAATTTAAAAGTAACAATAATTATTTTTAAAAAAAAAACATCTCAACCAGAAACGAAGAAACTCTTCAATATTTATTGTAATCATATATTTCGAATTATTTATCAGCATCCTCTATTGGCAGCAATTGTCATTGACAAACTCCTCAAACAATATCTCAACAACGAATGAAAAATCAAAAAATCAATGACTTCATTGTTATAGATAAAATGTAAGTACCCACTCTATTACTCTTATTAAATTAAATTAAATTAATTAGTAGCTACAACAAAAATTAATTCATATGTTAATAATGCGGAGAAGAAACTCCAATTCACAAGGAGCAACATTATGGATGCCTAGGTAGCAATCAATCTATCCCAAAACACACTTAAATTCGGATGTACAATTACGTTTTATAGTTAAACTTGTTAGGGGTGTAAACGAGCCGAGCCGAGCTCGAGAACTAATGCTTGAACTCAAACTCAGTAATTTTCAGGCTGCTCGAACTCGGCTCGAGCAGCTCGATTGTTCGAGTTCGAACTCGAGCTCGATTTTGACATTGAATTTGACATATTTAATACTTTTGATTTAAAATTCAAACTACTTTGTTTTATCCATACATAAATAATATAAATCTTTTAGAGATTTTGAGTTTAAAATTTTAATTTCTAATTGTTATTTTTATATATTATTATTATATTATATTATGTATTATATATATTATATATTATATGACTCACGAGCGGCTCGACGAGCCACGAGCCTAGAATATCTAGACTCGACTTGAGCTTGATACTAAACGAGCCGCTCAAGCTCGATTTTGACCGAGCTCGAGCCGAGCTTTCACCGAGCCGCTCGCGAGCTGCTCGACTCATTTACACCCCTAAAACTTGCTTAACATTAGAACAAATAATCCAAATTTTATTTCTTAACTGTATATATGAAGATTATAATCCATTTTAGCATTTAGTTTTTAAGTTTAAAATAATTCACTATTTATTCTAAAATCTAGATTGATTATTTAAAAAAAAAAAAAGTTTGTAATTGATGATGAAATATGACATTGCGATTAAAAGTGAAATTATTCCTAGCAGCGCTGACCTATATATGCTATTGAAACTTCTCCTTTTCACAGAGTTTAGCAGCTAGTGCATAGTGGAGATAAAAACAAGGCATTGAATGGTGCAAATCAGCTTTCCATTTCTTTATACTTTGCTTCCCAAGTTTGCCATCACACCTCTTACCCAAAATGTAAACAAGTTGTGCCATATATATATATATATATATATATATATATATATATATATATATTCCTTGCTGATAAGTGCACTTAATAAACCTTGACTTCTATGTAAGATGTCGACAAATCACACCAGAAAAATTTTGTGGGCTGAATTTGACCGATATAATGTTTGTAAGAATCAAGTTCATATAATTCAGCAAAGGGATTAGTCACTGTGTCCGTCGGTGGAACCCTGAGTATACCAAAAAAAGTTCATGACCTTCTAGTACAATCATCGCCGTTTTCATTTCAAATATAGTTGAAACTTCTATTGTGTCTATTTCAATATTCATTCTCTATTTTTAAAACTAGATAAATATATATTTATATTATGAGACAATTATAATATAATGTATTTGGGCAAAAAGGGTGATTTACTGAACTTCTGAAGTTGAAAGCAGACACTTGGAGCTGTCCAGTAGAACATTAGGCTTTATACCTTGGATAACAAGGAGCCGCACCAGAATAAATGCTGCCCTGACATAATCCTCCTAATCTGCACAAACAAGTTTTAAGTAATTGTCTTTTCTTAACTTAATTACATTTTTAGTTGTCTCAGACACTGATTCCTAGTATTAATTTCCAAGATTTTGAACAAAAATGGCCTATAAGCCTATGTTTTATTTTCCACCACTTATGGAATTTGACTGTCAAATGGATAGAGGCTCTGCAGTCTAGGCAGGCATCCAAATTTCCTACTATACTATACCCCCTCTCATTCATTGCTTTATGTACCTCAAAACTAAGTCCAATTTCTAAATATTTGTACCCCTCAATTGCCAGCGAAATAAAGGTATTAACTTTTTGTCAAATTGGTCAATCAAACTTTGACGCAAATAAAGGTTAAAGTGGAAAAGGGCGAGATGTTGAGTATATAGCCATTAATGTGCAATCCAACTATCAGCTTAGGTTTTTAGTTGAGATGGAGCACATGCTTCAATTTGGTATAAGAGCCACCCATAAGCGACTACAGGGGACGTGTTGAGCATATAGCCATTAATGTGCAATCCAACTATCGTAAATGTGGATAGAGTTATTACCTCATAATTCTTTAATTAATTAAGATTGAGAAGAGTTGATTGCAGAATTATGAGTAGATTGGGACTAAGATTTATCTGCAAAATCCAAGTAGATTTAGACTTTTTCCAGTAGAGTGCAGAGAGGGGAAGAAATAGAATCACTTGTGGGAGAAGTAAAGAAATCTGTAATTCTGGAAAGAAATTCTAGGAAGCCTAGCCTTAGAAGCAGCTAGCTAGCTAGTAGAGGTATAGCTTTCTTTCTGGGAAATGGGGCAATATTTATCTGTACTTTCAAAATTGTGGTTTTTGTTTCTTCTTCCCCTTGTTATATAGAGCAGCAATCTTGAATTGACTCCAAATCTAAAGCACTTCATTTAGTTGCCATCTCCAAACACACACCCTCATTCCCTTCTTCTCTTCCACAGTTCCTTCAGAAAATGATAGCTAGATTTTGCTGCATTTTCTTCCTTCTCCTCACATTTGCTTTGCCTAATGTAGAAACCAGGTCTTTTGCTCCCATATATGCTGCAATTCAGGTAAGAAAAACTTCAACTTTCACCAACCCAACTCAATTTCTTGACCATCTGAACTGTCTACTTGGTAACAACAAGGTTACAAATTTGACTCCCAGTGTGAGGCTGGGAGCAGTCTATTGGTCTGCTTGGTTTGAGCAGACCAGCTATAGGTAACCTAAGCTGGTGTACCTTCTTATAGTCCTTTGTCGGCCGAGGTCACAAAGGAGGTTTATCCCGTACACACCATTGAATAGTGGTTGCGGGTTTCTCTCGTAATTGAAAAGTAAAAAGGTGTGAATATATAACTGATTTTGGTTCTTAATTGTATGTATGTGTTACAAAAGGGGCAGATGGAGAGAGGAGAAAAAATAGGGTCAAGTCCACCAAGCTGTGAGCACAAATGCTATGGATGCATGCCTTGTGAAGCCATCCAAGTGCCCACCACCAGTGGCACTGTGAGTGTTCAGTACACAAACTATAAACCAGAAGGCTGGAAATGCAAGTGTGGCCCTGCCCTTTACACTCCATGATTATTCAACCTTGTTAGTGTCATATATTATTACTTCAGAGATGCATGTATGTGGTGTTACCATAATTCTTAATCTTGGATGGATCAATGTCCTTATGTAATATAGTATCTTTCAAGTACATGCTACTATGTTAGTTGTTATGGTGGCAAAGAGGATTTTGAGTAATAATCATTTTTTTTTTGTCAACTACTTGTCATTTATCGATGATAAAAGAATTTTAATATAACATCATGAGCATATGTGCAAAAGTGTGGATAAATGTGATTAATGGTTCATAAAATAAAATTTTTATATAAAAATATGCACACACAAACATGAAGCATATGCATTCCAAGACCAAAATTGTAAACTCGAGGGTCAAAATTATGCATATATGAAATGAAAAGAGATCATATATGAATGAAGGGTTTAGATAAAAAATATATATATATGGTTAAATTTCAACCATATATATAGTCCAAATCAACCGTTCAGAATGAAAATTAATTAAAAAACACTGTGTATATATATAAAACAGAGTTTCAATGAATAGTTATTCTAATTCTTATAGAAACTGAATAGTTTATTTAATAAGAAATAATGCATCGAGACAAGTTGGATTGACATTCATTGTGATAATTTTGAGTTAATACCCAAAATCGTCCTTGACTATAGTGGTTTTTCTCAATTTCGTCCTAAACGACTTTGGTGACCTAATATCGTCCCAGACTTTTGTGTTTCGCTCAATTTAGTCCTCCATTTGTTATTCCGTCAAATTGGTGTTAAATAAAGGGACAATTCAGTAATGTCAATATTGATCTCTCTTTACTTTCAACTTGTGAAGTGCGAAATTCCTTTTTCTTGTACGAATTACACCCATAATTACTCTCGGACCTTGCAAATCAAATTTTATATTCGCAATTTTAGGAGTAATTCTGGGAGTAATTCATAAAAAAAAAAAAAAGGGATTTCGCAGATCACATGTCTATGAGTAAAGAGATGCTAATATTAAAATTACTGAATTGTCTATTTATTTAACACCAAATGGACAGAATAACAAATGAGGGACTAAATTGAGCAAAAACACAAAAGTCTGGGACTAAATTGAGCGAAACACAAAAGTCTGGGATGATATTAGGTCACCAAAGTCGTTTAGGACGAAATTGAGAAAAATCACTATAGTCGAGAACGATTTTGGGTATTAACTCTGATAATTTTTATGCTATGATAAATTGATAATGTAGGAGTTAATTTTAACAAAGGTCCTTCAATTATTAGTTTTTGTTTACAATGATAATCGTTTATCAATTATAGACAAATATTGCATTCAACTAGGGGTGGGTGTTTCGGGTTTCGGTTCGGTTTTTTCGATTTCGGTTTCGATTTTTCGATTTTAAAAAAGTTAAACCATTCGGTTTAACATTCGGGTTCGGTTCGGTTTCGGTTCGGATTTAGATATCCAAATTTCAACATTTCCTAATTTTTCTAACATACTACCAAATAATACATATTCACATAATCCAAATTCAAACTCTAAACATTATATAACAAAATAGCAATCCAAAGTTCAAACACAATACTAAGTACTAATTACCAAACATCAGTTAACGTTTTTGCACAACCGACTCTTCAGTTGATTCAGTTGGAATATTTTTATTGATAAGATGAATAATCATTTATCTGTATATTTGATTTTTGGACACAATATGTCATTACTAGTGCACTCGAAATATATTCCAGTACTAGAAAATAATTATAGTGCACTGAAAATCAAAATTGGAATGACTGTAAAGCACATTAAATTTATAGAAAAACATGAAACTAAGGAAAATACTGAATATTGTAAATATAACTCAAGTTAGATATAATTGTGAGGTAAAGAACAATTGCGACAAACAACAAAAGTGCAATGTAAAAACCAAGCTATAAAGAAATCAAATAAAAAATTTAAGGTTCGGTACCAGTAAGAATGAGAACTGAACGGCGGAGCAGGCATCAAGGAACTTGGATTTACTTCTTTATTTTTATTATTTATTATTATTATTATTATTATTATTATTATTTAAAAAAATTATATAACATTCGGTTCGGTTCAGTTTTTGCCAAACCGTTCGGTTTTGGTTCGGTTCGACACTAAACTGTTCGGGTTACAAAATCCTAAACCATTCGGTTTTCTACTACTAGTTCGGTTCGGTTCGGTTCGGATAAACCAAAACGAAATGCCCACCCCTACATTCAACTATAACATAGTTGATAATCTCGTTAGGTTAGTGTTAATTCACCATTACTTATTTGTAATATACTCCGTAGTATTTTCCAATAAAGCGAGCACTATTTCCTCTTGTCAATTTCATGTTACTCACATAGAACCTAAATCATCACAATATATCTCTAACCGTCTTCTCTCGATCCAACAAAATTAGACTCCAATCAAGTTTAAATAACTAATTACACATAGAAAGTTTTCGCACTATTACTACATAAATAGCCAATCAAAGAAAGATTTTTATAATTCCATAACCTAGATTAGGAAAAATCAATTATAAAGATTGCCTAGATACTACTAGGCTTCCCCCATTTGATCTCAAAAAGAAAACCCCCCCCTTTGATCTCAAAAAGAAAAAAGAAAAAAGAAAAAAGAAAAAAAAAAAACCAATCAAAGAGTATTAGTAATACTAAAAATAAATAAAATTTTAAAGAGTAATGCTAGAGACTCATAAAATTTCTCCCTCCAATAATCTAATTCACTTGTAATGACATTGCAATATTTGATTGGTAGCTAAATTATATTTTAAATTAGTAGTGAGATCAATCAATTCATAGTACCCAACTAATGAATGTCACATCAAAAGAGAAAATATTACTGTGAAATTTAAAATGGGAAGAAAGTATTTTCTAATTGTAAATTGTGATATAAAATTATAGTTTTTTTTTTAAAAAAAGAATATATTGTTTAAATACAACGACTAATTGACACCACCTGAGGGCTGAGGGAGAATGCATTAAGCGGGAAATCAGACAAAGCCTTATAATTTCAAATCCCATTTACAAAATTAATTAAAAATACCCAAAATAAAATTTCCAGTTATACCTGTCTGCATTTTCCCCTCAAAAATCCATGGCGAGAACTAAACACCAAGCAGTAAGGAAACAACGTGGTCGACAGAGTTCCGGTAAACCTTTTTAGCTTGAGTTTTGTTCTATGTTCTCAATTTGGTGTTCAAGGAAAGAAAATCATTTGGTTTCCTTCAAACCCTAACTTTTTGTCTTCCTCAATTTCAGCTGCCGATGCTTCCGCTTCAGCTTCAAGGGTACTTCTGATGTAGTATATGGTATATCTCTGTGTTTCTTTTATATGTTTAGAATGATCAATTTAGTGTTTTTTGTTTCGCGGATTTAGGAGACGCCGAGTAGAAGAAGTCCGAGGACTACGCCGCAAAATCGAGGTAAATTTGATTATTTTTTTAAAGTTATTTTTGGAGTAGTAATCATTTTATGTTTAATGTAATGTTTTTGTTTTGGGTGGTGAAATTTTTGGTTTGTTTCTGTTGTCAGCTTCCCGTTCCCAGCCTCCCACTGGCACTGGGACGCGGAAACCTCATCGTTTCAGGCCTGGAACGGCGGCTTTGCGTGAAATACGGCATTTTCAGAAGACCATTAAGCTTCTGATTCCGGCTACTAGATTCATTAGGCTAGTGAGTACCAGCATTTCTCACAAATCTTTCGATTCGATTTGAGCATAATCATATTTTTTACTTAAATAGGCTTGGAGATTCTGGCTTGATTAGTGTGCTTGTTTTTCACGTGAGTAGGATGATTCTACAGCATAGCTTTTGCATCAAATTTCCAAAATGGGTTAACTAGAGAAGTTTTTAAATGACTACCATGCAGAGAATTTATTAAAAGGAGTGAACAATCTCAATGTGCATATTTCTGCTTCATTGATTTTTTATTTTTATTTTGGTTGAGAAAAACATTATCTGGGGTTAAACTTTATTTCAGATGTTATCTTTCTATTTGCGAGAGTGATAGATAAGAATGCTATATTACATGCTCAAGGTCACCATGATAAATTCTGTGGTGGGGGGAGCTCATTATATATTGGCCGTTATAATTCATATCAAAATACTCCGTATTTGTTTATCTTTGGAGACTCTTTCCTACTATAGTGAGCTGTTGAATAGCTCTTTATTTTTTTTATTCTTTTTCTTTTTTTTTTTCCTGGCAGTCAAGCACAGGCAGAACAATGTAATGACCACATAAGCTAGATATCTAGTTCAATTATCGTTAACTTGTTAAGGTCCTTGCAACTTGTAAGAGTGTTTTGTAAATTAAGCTCATGGCTTATTCTTGTAGATACAAGTAAGTTTGGTGGAAATGGAATTGATTGTTTATCTGACAAATTGGCTCCTATATGTGTGGATTCATTTACTTCAGTCTGATTTATACTGAAAGCAAATTTTAAGAGTAACATAGATTGTACATGTACTGTGTCATTACGTTAGATTTTGTTTGTTTGTTTATATATTTTTATTTTTTTTTTATCAATGCAAGAGTTGGTTATGTGCTGTACACGCAATTGGGAAGCAGGAGTGCAATGGAAATTTTGGCTTCTTTCTGATTCATGCTCTATCAGTTTGCTAGTCATGAAATCTTTTAGTATCTTGGTCTATTAACAAGTTGTATTTGTTCATATTCTGAATGCCACTTGGAAGATACACACCACTCTCAGAATGTTAAATTTGAATTTCTGAAAATATGCATGACACTCTGCCAATAAATGGTATAAGACTTTTAAGTTGATTATGACTTTAATCTTCATTCATGAATGGGTTTGCTCCCTTGGGTACTCAATTTCACATTATCTTTAAATGTAGTTCTTTCTAATTATGGCAGGTTAAAGAAATTAGCAACTTTTATGCACCAGAGGTATCTCGCTGGCAAGCTGAAGCTCTAGTAGCACTTCAGGAGGTATTGCAGCTTTGAGTATAAATACTTTTTAATTGGTAATTCCCTAGTTGTTATGCATTACATAACTGTTATGAACAGCATTCTATAATACAAATGGAAATGAAACCCCATTGACTCATTGCGGAGTCCTTGACATGCCCCATTTCTTTGCAGGCTGCGGAAGATTTTTTGGTTCACTTGTTTGAAGATGCAGTGCTATGTGCAATTCATGCAAAGCGTGTTACCGTTAGTAAGTTTCAACCCCACCCTTGTAAAGGGTTTTCTTCTTCCATTCGTTACACCCCTCCCAAAGTTAAACAAGACAATTCTATAAACTTAAATAAATATTGATTTACGAAAACTAATGAACTGTAGTTTATCAATACCAGTAGATGAAAATCAACATGTCCCCTCTCAATTGTTTTTGAGCTTTTGGCTGGCCTAGCCTAGGCTGCCTAGTAGTGAACATATGTTATTCTACTAGCATCAATATTTCTACCGTTAATTCAATACCAAGCTTGAAATGACTGTTCGATCTCCTATTCCTGACACCCAACACAACTTGTGTTCATTGTTGTCCTGGTTGGTTGCTCAGTGAAAAAAGATTTTGAGTTGGCTCGGCGACTTGGAGGGAAAGGGCAACCATGGTGAGATCACGACCGTCCCACCTGTTAATGAAGTGCCGGCAATCAACCATTCCCAGACAGATCCACATCCCTCCATTCTGACATTATTTTGAGCATTCCAGAGTAGCTTGGTGTTAGAGCATTTGTTCAATTGTTTGTATGTGATCTCTGCTTTAAAGAGAATGATTAGGTTGAACTGTAGTAAATACTTACAGTGTATGCTAATTAAATTTGGCTCTGTAGTTGGATCCTCCTAACATGATCATACAGATGATTAGCCCTGATGTTAAGTACTGAATATGACTTGTGAATTTGTGATAACATTTAATGTCACTTTATTGCTTCATTTGTCCTGAAGTAGGGGAGGTATTTTACAGTCTTTGATTGATAGTGGTTTTCTGTATCATTCTTCCTTGATATTTAATGATATTTTGAATCATCTAGTAAAGCCAAAGCTAATAATGAAATATAATTTGTGAAAGAGTTAAGTTTGGATTTCATGCTGTCATTTATTTATAATTTTATTCCTAGTTATCAAATTTAGTCTTGAAATATTGAATCATTTTCAATTATAACTTATTATAATTTTTTTTTTTTATTATATATGTGAACCGTTAATATTGAAGGTGAAAGTGAAAGTGAAATTGTGGCTGGTAAAATAAGGAAATTAGAGTTTTGTTTCATTGTATGTGAACAACAATTGGAGTAATGGTTATGATTTTTTAATTTTATTCTTAATGATTTAGACACTGAAAAGCTAATGGTGAACTACAATTAGAAATAATTTAATATTTAAGGACTAAATTTGATCATTTTAAAAGTCAATGACTAAAAGTAAAAATAAGTAATAATCATAGGACTGAAATTCACTTTTTGTGAAATGAAATAAAGGACAAAAATTTTAGCATCAGAAATTGAAGGGCCTAATTAGAATTACGGAAATTTTCAATAGATACCAATTATGAAAATTTTCAATAGATACTATTGTAGAGTGGAGACTAACTATGTCTGATAAAATAAATAAGCAATAAGCTCTATTTGATAAAACATGGACATTTTAAAATAATAATCTTTTTTTAGAAACGATACACTAAGTAGCTTTTCAAAATAAACTAATAGCTATTAGAGCGACATTATCATAAGTTATTTTGGGGAGAATGTCAGATCAAATAGCTTTTGTTCAAGATAATAGTTGATGTGGGGATGAATTAATTGAAAAAGAATTGACCTGCAAAGACCCAAAATAATGTCAGCTTAAAAAAAATAAATAAATAAATAAGGGAGGTGCGCGCCAAGTGCCCACACGAGCCCGCTAGCTGCCGGCCATTTTGACTTTTTAAAATTTTTTACTCTTTTTCTTTAAATGTCAGATTTTTTGTTTTAAATTTTTATTTTTCATTTTCACTCACATTTTTTTCGCTTTTCTAATTACACTTGCAAAAACCCCTCAATAACTGTACCGAAGATCACTATTGTGGATGCTCTTTAGCTTTTAAACTTTCAACTTTAAGCTAGCTTATAAATTATGTATGCCAAACAGAGCATCGGTACTAAGAGCATCCTCATCCATGCATCTTGGTGTGTTTTTGAGAAAACAAGCTTATGTATAGGAGAGAGGGTGAGGAGAGAGAGAAAATCCCTCCCTGCAAGACATTAAATTTTATTAGACTTGTGGGACTCACCAAATTCTCTAATTTTTGCGTTCTAGTTATGTGAAGTGCAACCCAACGTCCTCGAGGCCGTTAATGACGCTTTTAAGTTTTTTTTTTTTCTCTTTCCTTTTATATTTTTTTTTAATTACACTTGTAAAAATTTTTCAAAAATTATAATTATTGACGATGCTCAAAGGATAATCACAGCCGTGATTTTTTGCGTTGCAAATCAAAAATTTTGATGGGGTCACTGAATGGGAAAGAAGAAAAAACACATGTGCGAGTCGTGCGACTCTAACGTGTGGAAAACTATGCGTCCAACTGGGTGCGCGTAAAAAAAAAAAACTGTTTTCTTTTTCTTTTATTTATTTATTTGTTAGAATTTATTTTTTCTCTCTTTTCCTCCTCATATGTTCCAATTTTGTTGAAATTCTGGTGAACAGATCATCCAAACCAATCCCAGTCATCCAACCAAATCGCACGGCCAGATGTGAATTGAAGTTCTGCACATCACGCCCGGGCCCACCATGTCAGCACCGCCAATCATCACCTTCATTGTCATGGTGGACAACGTGGGACCCATACCTAGACAATCTCATCTGAACACATTTTTTTTTCCATTCCTTTTCTCTGTTTAATTAACGCGAATACGCGATACTTAACGGGGTGGTCTTGCCAACAATTTCTGGGAACATCACTTATTCATGTCGTACTATTTTCTTTTTCATTTTTTAAAAAATAATTTTGGTTATAATATTTCATATCATAAAAAATTAAAATTCATCTGGTCTTCTAAGAGTTATAAGATTTATGTGTTTTTTCATTTACTACAATCATATAATTTTACTATATTTTATTTATTCTTTGGATATTTTCCAATCAACAACGTGTGTGTTTATAACTAATATATTATATATAAAGCTTAAAGCCTTAAAGTATTGATATTATATGCAACTCTGTTATTGTTATTACGTACTTTATTTTATGCAAATTGTCAAAGCTTCTTCCAAGCATTTCTAATTTACTTTGAGATCAATTTCTATTCACCACAATCCATTTTGAGCGCATAATATATCGATTTCTTCGTCTCACTACGAAGAATTCGAATCTACTTTGATCCGAGTTAAATCGAAAGTGAATCTCACATATAAAAATATATCACAAAATAATCACATAAAATATTATTTTAAAATATTTTTTCAACAAGTATAAAATATTACATTTTATAAAGTATATTGTATATAAGACTTGAAGTGTTGATTATATATATAATTCTATTATGAAGGATTTTTATTATATACGACCCGTATCGTAAATTGAGACCATATAGCAGTCTCACAAAAAGGTCAATCTTATATTAAAATAGCAATTGCACCACTTTGACTCTTCATCATAACTAAATACGTGACAAATCCACTATCATGTCGTTAAAGTTGTAATTATGTTATTATATAGACATTTGAATGTTAGGATTTACTCTTTTTAATTTTGTTTTCGAATATTGCTCAGTTGTCAATATATTATTATTATTATTTTAACACCAAAGGGATGTGGAGACCATATAATATGTATTAGTATCCGAAGATTACTTCGATGTATATTTTAACTTTAAATTATGAAGAATATAAAATATTCATTTTAAAGCACTACTAACAATATTTTATTAGAGTTATATTAAACGATTTATTTTATTCTTATTTAAAATATGTAACGTGCATATATACACACCCGCCATTAGTATAAAATTACATAATTTGGTCAATTTGATAGATAACGCATTGATGAAATATATTTTTATCTGGAGTTGAAGAAAAATGTATTGTTTAAGTATTAAAATAAAAAGCTATTCTTGCAATTAAATTTACAGGCATGCTAATAAATAAATATACAGTCGTTATATCATAGACCGCGGTGCATAATCGCATCAAAACAATACCGTTTCTTTAAGTAAAGAAACGGCGCGCTGTTAGTGTTAACATAGTGACACTACAGTGTATCTAAATCGACACTGCCTCACGTATTATTTTTATATTAGCCCTGTTTGGTAAAAAATTGGCCTATAGGCCAATTTTGGCTTATTTGACCACTATTAATTGTTTGATTTAGTTAAAATATCAATATAAATGTTTGGTTAATTAGCTTTTTGCAACTCCAAAAGGCTAAAATTCAAAAAGTTACTCCTAGCAACTTTTTCAATTAGCTTTTTAAGAAAAGAAATTATACCAAACAGCTATCAGCTAACAGCTAATTTACCAAACACTTTTCTACAATCAGCTAATGTTATCAACTATTTATACCCACTAATTAACACAATCGGCTAACATCTAACAGCTATCAGCTAACAACCATTTTACCAAACATGGCCTTTATCAAATGAAACTGCAGTTATACCAAAATGATACTGTAGTTGTGGTGAAATGAAACTGCAGTATATATAAAATGAAACTGAATAACATTTCACATATTTGAGGGTATATTGTACAATGAAGCTGTAATTATATCGAAATGATCATGTAGTTGTGTTTTAATGAAACTATAGTGTATATAAAATAAAATTAAATAACATTTTCACATATTTGAATGTGTAAATATTGAATGAAACTGTAGTTGTGTTGAACTGAAACTGCAGTGTATACAAAATGAAACTGAAGAACAGAGTTATTTTTTGCGGAACTGTGCGGAACGGCGCGAAACGGATTCCCTTTTTTTTTTTTTTCATTAAATAAAACGACGTCGTTTTGATGCGCGGTGCATAATCGATTATGCACCGCAGTGCACGATATAAGCTGCCATAACTATATACATAATGTATTTTTTATTTATAATTCACACAAATGTGTCGTGTGTGGGCCATGATCCATGAAATAACGATTGCTGATTGGTTTGGTGTAAGAACATTCTTATCGTAGGAGAATTTGGGGTTAATGTTAGGTCAATAAACTTGGGTGGGGTTCTTTCTAAATGTGGGGTGGGGTTATTTTCAAAAATAATCCTTCTGCAAGGATTCGAACAATGTCAGGAAAAGAAAAAAATGGTGCGCGCACCTTGCGCCCACAGCGGGCACGTCAGAGTAGCCGCCAGCTGACATTTAATAACTTTTCACTATTTTTAAATCATAATTTATTTCATTTTTACTTTTTCTTTTTCACCCACATTTTTTTTTCTCTTTCATAATCACACTTACAAACCCCTCAAATACTGCACCGAGGATCAACTACTATGGATACTCTAATAGGATCCCGTTTTCATTTATTAGAGGCTATACGAGAGTTGATTCGAATGAATTATATATGTATATTTAAACATGCTCATAAAGATACTAGTACGTGCACATATGAGAAGGCAATATCCTCAAGTTTAAGCCATCTTGGTTTGAAAATCTTTGGTACTCATCTCCGTGGTATCCAATTGTCATTGCTATTCGTAGATGTAATATGTGTTTTTCAGTCTACGGTCTTTAGTGTGCGGTCATTGGTATTCATAGATGTAATAAGTATTGTTCAATTTAAATTCTTTTAGGACTTTGTTGGGTTTTTCTCCTCGCTGTATTCAAATAATAAATAAATAAACAAAATTTATAGATAAGTATTAATTCAATATTTGAATATTTTATTCATTTAAATTAAAATCGATGAAAAATTAAATTAATTTATGAACCACTACAAAATCAAAGATTTAATTAAATCAAAATTTGGGTTTTGTCAC